AACAGAAGTTAATTTAGCTCACAGTTCTAGGGGCTGTAAAGTTCAAGACCATGATGCCTGTATCAGGGAAGGGTCATTCCATGATAGAAGTCATCACATGAAGTGCAAGCAAGTGAGATAAAGGGAAAATGCAAGCAGGACTTATCTTATTATCAGGAGACCACTCCTGAGATAACTACTTGTAACCTACTTCCACATAATGGCATTAATCTCTCCATGAGAGCAGAATCCTCATGGCCTAATCACCTTTTAAAGGCCTTTTTTTTTTTTTTTTTTTTTTTTTTTTTTTTTGAGATGGAATTTCACTCTTGTTGCCCAAGCTGGAGTACAATGGTGCGTTCTCGGCTCATTGCAACCTCTGCCTCCTGGGTTCAAGAGATTCTGCCTCAGCCTCCTCAGTAGCTGGGATTACAGGCATGTGCTACCACTGCCAGCTAATTTTTTATATTTTTAGTAGAGACGGGTTTCTCCATGTTGGTTAGGCTGGTCTTGAACTCTCAACCTCAGGTGATCAACTCTCAACCTTTGGGAGCCTTGGCCTCCCAAAGTGCTGGGATTACAGGTGTAAGCCACCACACCTGGCCAGGCACCATCTCTTAATATTGTTCCAACAATAATTAAGTTTCCAACACATGAATTTTGGAGGGACAAATCTAAACTATAGAAGGCGGCAAATAATAATCAGTTCTAATGAGAGTTTCATTCTTGGAATTAGACCTGTAGTTTATCGTGTTGAGTGATGTGGCTGAATGTCCATTCAACATTTAACATATTTGCACAACTATTCAAAAAATGCTTTGAGTGTCTTGCCATCCTTATGTGTAAGTAGAAACAATACAATTCTCAGAGCTTCCCCAATTTTCTTAAGCTACCTACCCAATCCCCACTTTCTTCTCTAGCAGGCCTATTCTCTTAATTAAAGAAAAAAACTAAAGCCATTGGACAAGATCTGTTTTAAACCCTTGCTTTCGCCCTCTGCCTGCCAGTAAACCTCAATTATCTTGAGGCATAAAGAGTCTCTTTCTCTTATTCAAAACTTTCTGTCCTTGCTTTTGTATCAATCTCTGCTGTTTCCTCTAAGATCTTGCTTCATCAATGAACATTCTTCCACCTTATATCTTTACCCTATTCCTCTTTACTTATCTCTTTACTCATCTAAGTATAAAAATACACGTCTTTCTCTTCAAGAACAAAATGAAACCGAACAAAACTTTCCCTGATGCTATCAGTTACTGCCTTAACTCTGTCCTTCCTGTCTCTGTCAAGATTCTTAAAAGAATAATCTTAATTCATAGTTCATTTCCTAACTTAGTATTCACTTCTCAAACCACTGAAATGTATCTACAGCATTTCTACAATTCTGTTTGAAATTACCCACCAGAAGTCATCAATGATCTCCATAAAGCCAAGTTTAAGAGCCACCTTTCCATTTTTATCTTTCTGGATCTTTCCAGTGCGTTTCACATAGTTTATCACAATCCTTCCTTCTCAACACACAAATTCCTTTTTTTTTTTTTAATGGCACTATTCTCTTGGTTCTCCTACCTCTAAAATTGTTCCTGCTGCCCTCACCCTAAATATTAATGTTCCCCAGATTTTCATCCACAATCCTTTTTCCTCTCTATATTTTCTCACCAGGCAAAGAAGGGGATAAACTGTAAATAAGTCCATCAAAGACTTCATAGTTTGAATTTATACCTCTAATTTACACTACATGCAAATTTCCAGCCCTGAGCTCTTCTTTGAGCTGTGTACTCCTATCCAGCTACCATAGGACATCCTTTACCTGTATATTTCATAAGCACTTCAAACTCAGTGTGCCCAAAACTTTTCCCCTAAAAGTGGCTTCTCTTCCTATATTCTCTCTCTTTCTGTCTCTATCTATATACATATATGAAGCATCCATACAATCATCTAATCAAAACAGCTCATTCATCTCAGATTCCTCCCTCTTCCTCATCATCCCTCCCTCATACCCATTTAAACACCAAATCCTGTCAATTTACTCTCTTAAAACTTTTTTTAAATGAATGTCCCATTCTCTATCTTCACTACTTCTACCCTAATTTAGGATCTCATCATCTCTTGCCTATATTAGATAAGAGGTTCTAAAATAACAACTTATTTAATCAATCTGATATTATTTCTAGCCTCTCAATTTTTCCCATAATACAGCCAGAATGATCTAATATACAAATCTGATCATTTCACTAACCTCTTTAGAATGGTTTTGCAACCCACATAAAAGTCTTTATTTTTTTGTCACGGCATACAATAACTTCTTTGACTTAGTTCAAAGACCACTGCCTGACACTTCTTGGTTAAATCCCTATACTTCTGAATACCAATCAATTTTTAGTTTCCCGAATGTTCCATACTGTATCATGCCATTGTGTCTTTGCACATTCCCTGTGACCTTTCCTCTTTCTATGCTTGATTCTTAACATTCAAAACTCAACTTGTACATGAACTTCTCTACAATTTCTCTTTCCTAAATCCCCCAGATGGGATAAATGGCTCTCTTTAATCTTTCTATAAAATTATCTTGATCACTGCATTAACGTTATGTGTTCTTATGTTCTACATGTCTCCTTTACTAAATTATGAATTTGCTGAAGGCCAATTATCTAGCTATGTATCTGATGCACAGCTGTTTAATATTTTTTATAGAGTTAAATTTAATGATCATTCAGGTTGGTTTTAATTTTTCCAAAGTTATAATAAGGCTGCAATAAACAGCTTTGTGCAAATAATACTTTAATTTTAAAAATTTTGTTATGATGGATTATATAAGATTATTCTGTCTAAAGATATGAACAGTTATTATTATTCAACAATTTGTTATTTTTAATAGTTGAGAAAATAAGAGGCAACTGCTCAAAAATTTTTACTATATAAATGCATATTTGAAAATTTTTGTCATAATACTAATATAATTTACTTTATGCCAGTAAACAGTGCATTTAAGAATAAGAGTTCAACAATAAATGTGTAGCTAACATAAGTATCTATCTATGAGTAGCCCAGTCTCAATAATACGAGTTTTAGATTACAGTTAAAAATGTATTATGAGGCTGTGTGCGGTAGCTCACGCCTATAACCATCACCTGATGTCAGGAGTTCAAGACCAGCCAGACCAACGTGGTGAAACCTCATATCTACTAAAAATACAAAATTAGCTGGGTATGATAATGCATGCTTGTAATCTCAGCTACTTGGGAGGCTGAGGCAGGTGAATTGCTTGAACCTGAGAGGCAGAGGTTGCAGTGAACCCAGATCGCACCACTGCACTGTGGTCTGGGCAACAAGAGCCAAACTCTGTCTCAATAAATGAATGTGCACATACATACATACATACATAAAATGTATTATCAAGACCTTTTTTTTTTCCAAGACAGTGTCTCATTATGTCACCCAGGTTGGTGTGCAATGGCGCATTCATAGCTCACTGCAACTTCAAACTCCTGGGCCTAAGCAATCTTCCTGCCTCAGCCTCCCCAGTAATTGGGACTACAGAAGTGTGACACCATGCCAGTTAATATTTTAAGTTTTTTGTAGGAACGGGATCTCGTTATATTGCCCAGGCTTGTCTCAAACTCTTGCCTCAAGTGACCTCTTGTCTTGGCTTCCCAAAGTGCTGGGATTACAGGTATTGTGAGACTTTTTAAAAAATGCAGAATTTATCAATTGCCATTGATGAAACACCAAGTTTCCTAACATTAGAAAGGGAAAGCAATCTACCAAATTTTTGGAAATGGTCAGAAAGAAATCAACAGTATTAAAAAAACATATTAAACACAAAAGTTTTCATGAAGCAACCTATTAAAAAAAAGCAAAAATAACTTCAAGCTATATTTTCAACATATAAAAGTTACTAGTATAATGCACCAAATTAAGGGTTGACAAACTATTACCATGGGCCAAATTTAGCTCACTAGCTATTTTTATAAATAAAGTTTTATTGAAACACACCCAGGTTCATTCATTTATGTATTATCATGGCTGCTTTCAGACTACAATGGCAGAGTTAAGCAGATGCCACAAAGATCATATGGCTCACAAAGTCTAGAATATTTACTGTTTGGTCCTTTATAGAAAATGTCTGACAATTCCTGCTCTAAGTTATTAGGGGGAAAAACACACACACACACACACATACTTCTTTTTTTTTTTTTTTTTTGAGACGGAGTTTCGCTCTTGTTACCCAGGCTGGAGTGCAATGGCGCGATTTCGGCTCACCGCAACCTCCGCCTCCTGGGTTCAGGCAATTCTCCTGACTCAGTCTCCTGAGTAGCTGGGATTACAGGCACGCGCCACCATGCCCAGCTAATGTTTTGTATTTTTAGTAGAGACGGGGTTTCACCATGTTGACCAGGATGGCCTCGATCTCTTGACCTCGTGATCCACCCGCCTGGGCCTCCCAAAGTGCTGGGATTACAAGCTTGAGCCACCGCGCCCGGCCCATACATACTTCTTAATGCTGTCGTTTAAAAATACTTACACTGAAGAAAACAAATTGCACTCAAAATACCTAATTTGTATCAGTATCCTATTTTTTCTCATTTCTTTGGCAGAACTTCTAATGAACTGTTTTCATTCAAATCCATTCCTGTCCCCACTCTGTCCTCACCACGTGTTCCCAGCTCTATTCTTTGGTATCTTCTGATATACATGACAATAATAAATCTCTTCTGATGTAGTCTGACTCAAATAAAGATGTACATGGTTCCAGGAAAAAAAAAAATGGAAGATATAGAATGGAGGAAAAGTTAATGAGTAACCAGGTAGATAAAAAGTATACTTGGGGGAGTGGTTAATAACTGAGAGTATTGTAGAGAATGACATTATAATAAAAAAAAATCACATATATATTTTAGGAAGAAGAAAAAAACTGAAAGAAGCAAAGAAAATCAAACTATTTTTTAACATATAGAAAATCTGCACATTTAAAAAGCATAAAATCAATCAATATCATTCATTTAGGAAAGACTTCTATTTACCTATCCAAACAGGCAAAGAGTCCAGATTTCCCTCCTACTGCACAAAGTACTTTGGGAGCACAGCGAGGTCGTGTCATCAAGACTGTCTGATGAGACAATCTATGTTCAGGCATAAAGTGGTACTTTAGAGCTTCATTCAAAAGATGTTTACAAGTGCGATCATCACGTATAAGATGATTTGCTTCATACAGTCTAGTGAGAAACTTAACACTCAACAATGGTAATCGTACACTGTTTAGTAATTGTGCTAAGTATTTCTGGCGTTCTTGTACGTCATACTTGATCCAAGACTCTAATGCATAAAAAACAGTCTCTTCGGTAGCTACGTTCAAACAGTCATTGGAAACAATTTCATCCAAGTCAGCATGTGTAAGCTCAAAAAACTCTTCAGTCTGGCAAACAGCTTCAAAATTCTGGCATATGTATTTAGTGGCTGCCAAATAAAGGTCATGGCAACCATACGTTTCTGCAAAACGAGAAATTCCAATACAATTACCAGGATCAAGTTGGCTTTCAAGAAATGCACAGCATTCTTTCAGGACAAGTTTTATCTGAAGTAGGTTTGCTGCTGGCAGGAGAGATTCAACTGTGTCCTGAGAAATAAAAACAGTCCCTGTGTAGGCATACTCCACAATGGCCTGGAGAGCAGTTTCATCAATGCACTGAAACTCAACCTCACTGTTCTCTTTTTCAGAAAGGTTTCCAGTGAACATAGCTTTGAAATATGGGCTGACGCTGGCAAGTACCACTTTGTGAGCATGAATTTTAACATCACCTACTCGAAGAACGATGTCACAGAGTTCGTGATGTTGGCGAAGAATATTCAAGCCCTGCAGAAGTTGTTCAGAATGCAAGTGGGTTAAGTTAGCAAGCATGTAGGTTGGGGATGTGTGGTCCATCTACAGAAAAATAAAAAAGCATGGACAGTTACTTCAAAGTAATCTTGTCAATAATACTTCAAAGTAATCTTGTCAATAGTACAGAATAATCAGATTTGTAATTTATTTGCCTGTTCATTGGCTGTTAAATACTTCATAGTAAATACTACAACTAGAGGCTTTCAGAATTAGAAGGAATTTAACTCCAGGAAGTAGGCACCATTAAAAATAAAAATTAAAAAAAAAAAAAAAAGATTTAACAACCACGTAACTCAATTTATTTATTATAGATATTAGGAAATGGAAGCCCAAAAGGTTACATGAAATGCCCCAAACCATAAAAATTTCTGACAATGGACTTTTGGATCGAAACTCTACCAACTTTTTCATTTTGTTTCCCTTGCATTAAATTCAGGTGTGAGCTATCACTGAAACAAAATGAAAATATGAGGGGGGAAACCTGCTAAAAGTAAAATTAGATGTAGAACAAACAACACTTTTTGCCAACCAACAGATGCTTTCATTGTACAGAAATTTCATGTTAACACACTTTACCCAAAATTTCAATAGTTGCTTTGATAGAGGGTGTTGAATTTAATGAAGGTACCATTACAACCAATTAATTTAATTAATTATGAACAGAATCCAAAGTTCTATAAAGAGGGCAATAAGACTCACTTACTGATCTGTACCATAGCCACTCAACTCTTTTTTTTTTTTTTTTTTGAGATGGAGCCACTCAACTCTGTCACTCAGGCCGGAGTGCAGTGATCCCAGCTCACTGCAACCTCTACCTCCCAGGTTAAGCCATTCTCCTGCCTCAGCCTCCTGTGTAGCTGGGATTACAGGCACCTGCTACCATGCCAGGCTAATTTTTATATTTTTAGTAGAGACAGGGTTTCGCCATGTTAGCAAGGCTGGTCTCAAACTCTCAATCTCATGGGATCCACCTGCTTCAGCTTCCCAAAGTGCTGGGAATGCAGGCATGAGCCACTACACCCGGCCTCAACTCTTGATCATTAACTCGGATCATGCTCATTCAATCTACTTACCACTTTGCGCTTCTGGAAGATGAAAAAGAATAAAAATACGAGGGAAGAAAAGGGATGAGAAAGAAAAGAAAGTGGAAAGACAATAAAGACTATGGTAGGCAGAATAATGGCTCCCCAAATGACATCCACATTCCAATCCCTGGAACCTGTGAATACTACTTTATATGGCAAAAAGGGACTTTGGAAAGGATTAAAACTTTTAAGATGGGGAAGTGATACTGGCTTATTCAACTGGGACCAAAATGCAATCAATATGTACCTTATAAGGAGGCAGAGGGAGATGTGACACAGACAGAAGAGGAGGTCATGTGACTAAAGAGGTAGAGACTGGAGTGCTGCAGCCACAAAGCCAGGAATGTTGACAGTCACCAGAAGCTAGAAGAGGCAAGAACAGATTCTCCCATAGAGCTTCCGGAGGGAACATAGTCCTGCCACCTTAATTTCAGTCCACCGACACTAATTTCAGACTTCTGGCCTCCAAAACTTTGAGAGAATACATTTCTTTTGTTTTAAGCAACCGAGTTTATGTAATTTGTTACAGTAACCTTAAGAATTAATACATGGATATTTCAGAATGGACTATAGAAGTTGCTTAGACTAGACAAAACGAATACAGGGCATGTATACGATGTAAGATATTTCCTCTCTGTCTCACTCACATTTGAAACACAAGTTATGGCAATAACAAAAAAGTATTTCAGTTTCCATCTTAAAACCATCAATTCCATCAATTCAAACATTTTGAACACTATTTAATAATATAAATGTTAGCAGAATTGAGAGTACAGCACTTCGTTCTTGTACATTTTTAAGTGGAAAAAATCCAACAATTGAAATTTTTACCTTTGTCAAGTACTTAATTGTTTCATACTTATTTCACACTGAATTTTAATTCAAGTAATAAATTATATTAATATGGCCACTTTACAGCTGATAACAACCTCTACTTCCGATCTCTGCAAATAAGCTCATAGTTATCTACCAGAAAAATTCTCAAATATTATTGCAGTCATGTATAAACAAGTCCTGAGAAGCTTCTGGGTCTTCCAGTAGGTACCTTTTTTTCCCATAGTATAATACATACTACTAAGAAGATAGCAATCAGAAGCCGTAAGTTTACATCTGCGTATGTTCTGTTAATGACTCCACTGTTGACCTTTTTAACCTATGTAACTTCTTTTAGCCTCAGTTTTATGACAAAGTTAAAATCTAGACTTAAAAGTAAAGAATGAACAACAGTAAAGGTAAGTAGATAGAAAAAATAGGTAATGGGATTAAGAAAGCAGTCCTCATTAACTTTACCTTCTCAATCTTTGGTTTCCTTATTTGCAGAATAAGATCATAATAACCTGAACTAGATTATTCAGTTAATAATGTAGCTGAGGTTTTTGAAAATCAATCAGACAATGTACATGAAAACATGATAAACTATTAGAATAGGTGATATTGTACTACAGTAGTACTATGGTAGCAGTGAGGCAATAGACGTATAACAATATCAGTGAAGAACACAGACTTCAGAAATATAAGGTAATAAGTTTTAGTCCCATCTGTGTCTTGAAATGTATTCGGAGAAATTGGTACCTTTCGTAATCTAAGTATTAATCTTTCCATTCATAAAATAAGAATACCCTGGTGAGGCATGGTGGCTCATGCCTGAAATCCCAGCACTTTGAGAGGCTGAGGTGGGCGGATCACCTGAAGTCAGGAGTTCAAGATCAGCCTTACCAACATGGTGAAACACCATCTCTACTAAATACAAAAATTAGCTGGGTGTGGTGGTGCATGCCTGTAATCCCAGCTACTCAGGAGGCTGAGGCAGGAGAATTACTTGAACCTGGGAGGCAGAGGCTGCGGTGAGCCAAGATTGTGCCACTGCACTCCAGCCTGGGCAACAAGAGCGAAATTCTCAAGAAAAAAAAAAAAAAAAGAATACCCCACTTATCTCAGAAGTTTACCTGAAAGTGACTCTCTAAAGTATAAAGTTCTATACAATATACAACTTGAGGTATTAAGAATATTTATGTCTCACTGTATTAAACTGCCACTTCCCAATATCCCCACTTTCACTAATTCTCATTCCTTCTCAAATTCCCATTCTTTCCCACATTGACCTTTTTACTCTTATGATGCTCACGTAATGACTACAGCTCTATTTAAAACTTGCTATCGGGGGGTGGGGAGTTGGGAGAGATGGCATGGGGAGAAATGCCAGATACAGGTGATGGGGAGGAAGGCAGCAAATCACGCTGCCATATGTGTACCTATGCAACAATCTTGCATGTTCTTCACATGTACCCCAAAACCTAAAATGAAATAAAAAAAGGAAAGAAAAAAAATTTGCTATCTTCCAAATATTTTCTTAACCACACATTAGATTTTGTCTACAACCTTTCTCCTCTCATCTTCCTTTCCTCCAATTCAAATTCTCAAAATCAAGGTCAAAAATTAACTTTACCTGGGTGTCTATAAACATTTATGTACTATATTCCTTTACAATTAATTTAATTATATGTGTTGCTCTGTGAAACATACGCCCTTCAACTTTCATTTTCTGATCTAACAAGGAGAATGATAGACTAAAAAGTGAAGGATGAACAACAGAAAAGGAAAATGGATATGAAAAATAAGAGAATGAATTTAAAAACGAGACCTAGTTACTTTGTAAATTCTTCTCTCTCAGACTAAACAATTATGTTTCAAGGTATTTACAAGAATCTGAAAATGAGATTCTTGAATCATTATCAGTACCACAGTAATGGAGACCATTTTAAAAAATAAGACAGGTTAATGAATAAATTCTACAATATGGTAAGATTTCTGTTCATTTCAGATAACATTCTAAAACAAATTATTAAAGATTTGACTGTGAATACCAATAAGAAGATATTAAGGTCTTTAGGATTAGGATATATGAGCTAAAAGCAGTAAGACATGTCACAGGCTAGGTTTGTTTCTTTTTAAAGACATATTCAGAAGACTTGTAGATCAGAAAAGTACACTTGATATTTAACTAGATAATAGTAAGTAATTTTATAATGTCCTTCATTATTTTTCAAAGAACAAAAGTAAAAAATGTATAAGCTAGATTAGGTAGCTAAATTAGCAACTGGTGGAATAAATACCAGCTAGAGTACACCACTTAATGAGATGAGGCCTAGAGGGATGTTTCTATGGTATTCTATAAGGCCAAGACGAAGATACTGTATGTCCTGAACTTTGAAGATGACATGAAGATGCAAAGGACAGCAAAAGCATTGACTAACACAGTAAAGATCCCAAAAGACCTGATATCTAACAAGAAGAAATTTAAAAGGGATAAATGTAAATATTCTATAGCAGATTCCAAATCAACTACACAAGTATAGAACAAGAGAGAAAAGACTCATCTATAGAACATGTTTAACAGGTTTAGGGATTTTAATTGCAGTACTATTTTAACACCATAAGCTTATGTGGGTTTAAGATGCATTAACAGAACTATAAGACACAGCACTACAGAGGAGAAATTTTCACTTTGCTCTGCATATGTCAGCCCATATCTGTAGTACAGATTTTAGGTATCATCCTTTGAAAGGGATCTAAACATACTGTAACACCTGATGAAGAGAAGAAATTCAAATCATGTCTTACAGGCAATGGAACCAAGGTACTGAGTCTGGGAAAAAAGGAGACCTGAGTTATCACATGAAAAACCAAGGAATGAAATTTACTAAACAACAACAGGAATAATAATTATCGTACAGGATTGCTTTGAGGATTAAATGAGTTTATATATAAAAAGGGCTCAGAATAGTGCCTATCACTTTGCAAGCTCTTAATAAATATGAGTTATTACTAATGAATTCTTTGAGTTGTCCCTTGAGAGGTGTTTAACTTTCTATGTTGCACTATCTCTTACTATTAGATAAGAAATCTGCTTTGTCTTCTCTGATACCCTGGGCAACACCAAGTATCGCAGAATTATTG